TTGCTCTTGCCAGGCAAGTGGTTTATTCTACTGAGCTATCTCCCCGGCCCAGTATAATCTTGTATAATGCAAAAACTTGGCAAATCAATCTTTATAATTGATTCTAGAAACAAAAATAAAACAAATATTTTAAGAAGTTCATTTGTTTAATAAAAGGCAGACAGAGATCATGTTTATGTATATGAAAAATTTAATAATATGCATTTATCTCTAATAGAAGCTTGGAATTTAATTATCAGGCAATTAAAAGTGATCTGATAAATATTTTAAGTAATATTTTAGATTATTTTCATACTTTTTTTGGTTTTGTTTGAACCAGGAGCCGAATTCAGGACCTTGTGCTTGCCATACAGGTGCTTGTACCACTGAGCAAGATACTTGGCAGCCGTGTATACTGATTTTCCTTTGAAAGCATCTTGCACCTCATTTCTAATATGTGGCGTCCTCTGTGTTTATTCCTGACTGTATGGTATTTCTGAGGACTTCTGGTATTAGGAGATGTGCCTCCTGCAGGAAAGGGAACATTCAAAAAAACCGTTCTTTTGCCCAGTATCACTCAGATCCCCCGATTCATCACTGACTTCCTCTGTGGTTTGTATGTGCAAGTGCTGGCTTTTGGTTTTCCTGTGACTGACCCCTTTGGTTCGTTTAGTTCCAGAAAACATGGCTTTTTCCTTCATCTCCCCTTTACTGGGAGATCTTTGTTTCACAATATGTAGGTGGGAGGGACTGTTACAGGGGCTCTCAGTTTGGGAAGCACCTCCAGCTTTACAAGGACATTGGGGCCTCTTCTCAGCTGTTGAAGAAAGTTTCAGATACTGGGTTGGGGTCAAGGATGTCCGCTTATAGTTGGATTCATGGCTGTGCTCATGCTTCTCTTTTGGGGACCCACAGACTATATTCTGGGTGAAGAAGCCACCTCTGTGGCTTATTTCCGGAGAGAGATTACTTGGGTCTTGGCCATCAAAGCTCCTTCTGTTGTCAAAACACCAGCATTCAGATCTCTGGGTACTCGACCTCCCTTGCCTTTGGATTCTTCTATTGTGGTGTGAATCAACTTCAATAAATGGGGAAGAAGGTCTGCACTTGGACATTTTTGTCCTGAAAGAACTCAGGGGTCTACCATTTCTCTTAGGAGAGAGGCCATTTTCTGACATGAAACTGCAAGAAGGATCTCTCTTTCTAGGTTGGCTATTTACTAAAGATCTTTCTCTGGATAGTCTTTGAAAAACTTTTGGTGAGGAATCTGAGTATTTGGGATTTTCTATTTGTTTTTTCCGGAAATTTATCTGGGGGCCAATATGCAAACCCCTTCCTTCTCTGGGATTGTATCGCTGCAGCTTCTCCTGATTAGAAATTTCTGGGGTGCTAATGGAGTGTGTCATTGCTTCAGTCTTTTTCAGATCTTGGATGTTACTAGGATACAACTTTTTCCCTTCTTTGTTCCTCTCTTGAACACGGTTTTTGCAGTTAAGGATTCTTGGGCCACTTTCCCTTTGGGTAGCCCAACTCAGAAGCATATTTTCAGGAGAAATTGTGGCTTTGTGATTGTCTGATTCTGGTCTGGCTTTGGTCCAATTAGGGACTTTGCTTGCTATTTTATGATGAACTTGTGGCACTTCCAAATTTTTCACAAAAGAGTTACCATTTGGAAACTGTTTCAAGTGAGACTCAGATCTGACCTCCTTATTCCATTGACCCTGGTTGTCTTTAGTTTGCTTTTTATCATGCTGAGACATCATCAAGTTATGGTCTTTAGACAAAGGTAAAATAGGACCAAAAGCAACAGATTTCTTTGTTGCCCATGTTGAAACAGAAGGGCATTCATAGATGGCTCGTTGGTCATAGGCCTGCATGTTGTAAGGTGAATGAACAAAACTGATAAACTCATGCAGAAAATGGTGGGTATGTTGTAAAAGATAAGGTTCCAAGAGGTGAATGAAGGACTCACTGTCCAAATCATATTTGGTCATATGATGGAGGATGGCAGCTAGGATATTCTTCACTGTGTAGCCATAATCTCCATAAACAGCTCTTAGTTCCCGTTTTAGCCAGGGAACTAGACGATGTAGGCTCCCAGGATTGTTTTGAAAATATTTAGCTGAAAAATGCTTTTCATGTCTGTTGCCCTGAACATGGGAAACCCAGATTCCAGAATAGTACAGAGCTCTTCGGAATTTCATAACCACATGATCTCTGAAGTGGCCCACAGACATGGAGTTTGATTGGAACTTCCCACTAATCCCAAACTCCCTTAGTAAATCTTGGATAGTCAGCTCTTGCGATAGTTTGATTTTCCTTTGGATACCCTCAGGGCTCAGCCTAAGATAATTGTTTTGAGAATACCCTACAGAATCTTCTTCCTTTGAAGGAAAAAATGCTGAGTCTTCTTTGTCACTCTCCTGCTTAGTGAAACAACACTGGGGAGGACAGCTCTGTACACCCAAAGGAGGAAGGCGTTTCTTCTTTGATCTTGAATATAAGGAACCATTTTCTCTTATTTTGGAATAGAGATTCCAATCAGACTCACTCTCAGCATCCTCTGTACAGTTAGGACACTCGCAGTCAGATGAAAGCTCTACAGCCATTACCCTAAGCAGATTATACTTCAGGGTTGAATGGGGGAAAAATTGCTTCAAATCAATTTCTCATTTGAAATGAAAATTCTCTGTTAAAAATCTTGTATGTGTATTCTTGTAATATGTTCTATCTCCCAATAATTAATAATACAGTTAAGCAGCTACATATTGATCAAATTAACAATCATGAGCTCATAGAACTCAGTGGAGATAAGGCAATGGGAACACAGGCACACTGATTTTTCTCAAATTAGTGGTTGCAAACTCTGAAAAAATAAATTAGAAAAAAGCATTAAAATTGAAGTATTATAGCCTTTCATGCAGTAATCCCACACCTATTGATTTAACCTACTGATACAGATAACTAACATGTGTTAAAAAATCAATATTTTTTCTTTGATAATGAAAAACTAGAAGCAATCTAAATAATCATTGGTAGGCATGTGTTAAATGATGGCTTTTCCACCATTTCTAGTATTATGCAGTTATTGAAAATAAATGAAGCAAGTTTATATATTAATGCATATGAATATATTATTAAATGAAAATAAGTTTGTATAGAAATACAAGACTATTGCAAATGCTTAGAGTATTAATTTCTGATAATATTGGGAACAAGACAATCAAATTTTCTCAATAGAAATGACAAAATATAGCTATGATAAATGTATGCATTATATGCATTTTTATATACAAATATATTCCTATACATGGAAAAATTCTCAAAGGTAAAAATTATCCAAGATAACTAGAAAGCCACAGAAGGATGGGAACTCTGACACTACTAGTTGCTGCCCTGCTTTCTTAGCTTTAGTTCTGGGGAACAAAGAATGGACTCTATTCAAGATTAGATCTTTCTTAAATATGAATATTAAAATGTTTACTTCTTCACCAAGAGACTTGTTAGAAGACCCCCTCCTTGAGGAGTCAGCAAGAAATCTTGTAAACAGAAATGAGTCAATATGTCTGTAGACTAAATTGAATGTTTTTTAAAAATCTTAATAGGATCATATATTTTGATTTGAATAACCACCTCAGGCAACTAGCAAAGGCTAAACAAATTCTCTGAGGAGTAGCACAGTCTAAATCCAGTTCTTAGGAAAAATTTCACATAAATGAGTTCACAATTAAAAATCAGTAACAAGAATGAAGCATCATAAGTCTACAGAAATAGCAGCAAATTTTGCTCTGGATAGAATTATCTTGAAAGTACTACAAAGAAATCTATATAACATGATAAAGGAATTAAAATATAGCCAAACAGGATTTCAGGAAATAAAATTATAAATATTGAAATTTTATATGAATGGATAAAATAACAAAATAAGTACTGCTAGAGATAGTTATTAATATTAAAATAAAGAACTGAAGAAATTATATAGAATACATCACAGAGACAGATAAAAATTTAAACAATAAACACAATAAGGCTTCATATTCATAGAAAATAATAGAAAAAGCAATATTCAAAGAGATATGTCTAACAACTTCTTGGAATACATAAAATGCATAAATCATTATCTCAAAATTACAATTAATTCTAACTGCTACCAATAAAAAGAAATGCACATTAAAATACAACAACGCAAAACTGGAGGACACCAAAAATAAAGTCACTTTTCAATTGCTATTATATAAGCTAGAAAAAAAAACAAACGTATCTTTAAAATATTGGTTGCAGCAAATTTGCCATTCTGGTATTGTACAATCAGTTAAAGTAATTTTCTTTTTTAAAATTTTATTTTCATTATTATTTATTTTAAAAGCCAATTAAAAATTAGAAATAGTACAAAATTTCAAAAACAAGATGATACGACTTCAACGATGGTTAGTATATTGCATATTGTTATCTTCAAAGTAGTCGTTCAGATTGCCAGATATGAGCCTGCAAAACTGGTCAAAAATATTGAGCATTAACTATTCCTTTCAATAAACCAATAAAAACTAGCAGTATAATTTTCTTAGCTACCTTGTGTATATACTTTTTTCCCTTCTTTATTTTTTCCTTTCCCTCATCCCAGGTGTCCTTTCCTTTTGAGCAGTTTCTTTCCCTTTCATCATATCTATTGTTCCTTTCAGATACTATTTACTCTTTCAGGTTTTTCACTAGAGAGACAATATGATGTTTACACAAGCAGGTCTCATTTATTTCACTTAAGAGTGTGGTCTCTAGTTGTACCTATTTATTTATAAAAGCCTCACAAATTTATCTTTTTTATAGCTAAGTAATACTCAATTGAATAAAAATACCACATCATTTGTATCTATTCCTCAGTTGCTGGACATTTGAGTTGTTTCCAAGATTTAGCTAGGACAAATTATGCTGCTATAAACATGGGTATTCTTATGTCCCTGTGATAAAATGTTTTCACCTCTTCTGCAAAAATACCCAGTGACAGAATAGCTGGGTTGAATAGAACCTCTACTCCTAGTCCTTTGAGGAAGCTCTACCCTGATTTCCATTGTGGTTGTACTAGTCTACACTTCCACTAGCAGTGGAGAAGTGTTCCTTTTTCCTCACAGCCCCTCTAGCATTTGTTATTGGTTGATTTTTTGATGATACCCATTCTTTCCTGGATGAGACAGAATCTCAATGTTGTTTCAATTTGCATTTCTTGAATTACTAATGATGCTGAAATTTTTTTCATATATTTATTTGCCATTTTTATTTCTTTATCTGAGAAGTGTGTATTCATCTCAGATGCCCATTGTTTGGACTGGAAGTTTGAATTCTGGGACCCTGATTTTTAAAAGTTCTTTGTATGTTCTAGATAGAAGTCCTTTGTCTGATGAACAATTGCTTAAAATTTTCTTCCTAACTTGTGGGTTTACTTTTGACAGTGATTTTTATCCCCAGTGGGGCTGGGGATATTGGCAAGAGCAGGATCCTAAGATCAATTCCCAGTACCAAAAACAAAGAAACAAAAAAGAAAACAAAAGAAAAGAAAAGAAAAAGAAAGTGGCTTTCAAGGATTAAATCAAAAGATGGAAGAGAATGAACAAAGAGTTAAGATGTATTGTGTACCAACTCTGCAAACATGTACCATTAAAAATAATAAAGAGGAAGAAAGTACAATTAGGACAAATTTACATAGGATTTGCCAGGAAGATATTTGAAAGAAATTAAAACTTGAAAATGTTAAACACTAACTTCTCTAAAGAAAAATATGAAAGATTTCAGAAGAAAAATAACAGAAAAATAATTGCAGAGAAGAATTTGTGATGTGGAAGAAAAAATGGTGAGCCTAAAATGGTAAATATATGGATTGGTCTAAGAAAATAGTATATAGAACACTGTTACAAACATCTATTATGGTACTAAAATGAAAATAAAATTCTAATATGTAAAAATAAGAGTATGAAATTTGGAATGGTTTATATTTATCTCTGTAATATAGTGTCTTGCCTATGTTTATATCAACACAAATCGTAATAGCTAAATCTTGGAAGCAGCCTACATGTCCATTAACAGATGTATGGATAAAGAAGATGTAATTATATACAATTGAGTACTACTTTACCACAGAGAAATATAAACTTGAGTCATTTGTAGGAAAATAGTTGCATTTTGAGGCCATGATATTAATTGAAATAAATCAGACACACAAGCTTAAATATTGCATAATTTCTCTTATACAAGAAACCCAAAATATACATAAATTAAAGAGCAAATTAAAACATAGATCATAGGAAGGAGGGAGGTAGATCTTTTTCAGAATGTTAGGAAACATGAAATGCCAAAGCTGAGTCAAGAAGATATACAAAGTCTGAATAACCCAATAATTAGAAAAAAAATTGAAAATGTAATGAAAAGCCTCCCAACAAAGAAAAGCCTAGGTCCCAATGGATTCACAGCAGGATTCTACAAGAAGTTTAGAGAAGATTTAATGACAACTTTTCTCAAACTCTTCAATGAAATTGACAGGAAAACAATTCTCCCAAACTCATTCCTGGAGGCGAGTATTACTCTGATTCCAAAACCAGACAAAGATCCAATGAACAAGGAGAACTATAGGCCAATCTCTCTAATGAATATAGATGAAAAAAATCTTCAATAAAATCTATCAAACAAAATTCAGCAAATAATCAAGAAGATTATACATCACGGTCAAGTGAATTTCATACCAGGAATGTAGGGATGGTTTAACATATGCAAATTTATAAATGAAACAAACCACATCAATAGAAGCAAGAAAAAACACATAATCATCTCAATAGATGCAGAAAAAGGTTTGGACAAAGTCCAATACTCATTTATGATAAAAATCCTACCGAGAATTGAAATAGATGGTCTATATCTCAACCTGATATAAGCCATCTATGAGAAGCAACAGCCAACACCATACTAAATGGACAAAAAATGAAGGCCTTCACTTTAAAATCAGAAATAAGACAAGGATATCCACTGACTCTACTCATATTCAATAAAATCTGGAAACGTTAACAAGAGCAATTAGACAAGAGAAAAAAAAAAGGAATAAGCATTGAAAAAGAAGTGAAATTATCATTATTTGCAGATGACATGATACCCTACATAGAGGACCTCAAAAACTCCAAGAATTTTGTAGAGTAAGTCACCAAGTTCAGCAATACAGCAGGATACAAAGCAGGATACAACACCCCCCAAAAATCAGTAACATTTTGGACACAAAGAAAAAACACACTGAGAGAAATTAGGCAAACTACCCCTTTCACAATAACATCCAAAAAATGAAATACTTAGGAATCCATCTCACAAAGGACATAAAAGATTTATACAGTGAAAAGTATGGTACTCTGAGAAAAGATATTGAAGAGGTTTTGAGAAAATGGAAAAACATCCCATGCTCCTATATAGGAAGACCTAACATTGTAAAAATGGCCATATCCCCAAAATTCTTACACAGATTCAATGCAATCCCAATTAAAACACCATTAGTATAGCTCACAGAGCTAGAGAAAACATTCCTCAAATTCATTTGAAGCCAGATGAGACCCCTAATATAAAATCAATCCTGGGAAAGAAAAGA